CCCCCCCCCTAACCCCCCCAATCCGCGCATCCCAATACCTTGTTCGGAAAGAAGTGTCCTATGGATCCCCTCAAGGGAATAAATACTAGATGGGAGGAAAATACATATTTTAATAATGTCTCTCGCAGTTATATAATTGGGTAATTATATAGTGTATAAATTGCGGGCATCAGGGAGCCACTAAACTGCTTTTGAATGCACGATCCATTTTAGTTTAACTTTCACTTTCGAGATTCGAGATCACACTTGTACATGGAGCAGCAGTACTTACCACACATTTTACAAGATTAGATGTTTGTCGGTGGTTCTGAGGATCTGCAAATCATTTGCCATCATCCTCAGTCAGGTCAGTAAGCAGGTTTATGCTTGTTATTCAGCTTAGCTACAGCAACAGCGGGATGCCTTTGTCCATAAGGAATTCCTGGCGTCAAAAGTTACTTCTATCATATAAGTCCATTTTGGACTTTCTGTACGACAGCGCTTTCTGGCATCGAGTATGAATGAAACATACAGCGCATGAGAGTGTTCGGCACTCTGTGATGTTCACATCGTTTTGGATAAAAATAACGTATCCGGAACGACGTAACTATATTGTCTCTTTTGATTTAAATCTAGATTTATTCACATTGGCCCTTGAAAATCTCTACGCATAGGCGGATTAACCATATGGGCAATTGAGCAAGTGCCCAGAGGCACTACGTCCAGGGGGGCACCACCAGGGCTGGATTGGTAATGGGGCATACCGGGCATTTTCCCGGTGGGCCGACGCACTTAAGGGGCCGACAAAAGTTTTTTTTTTTTTTTTTTTAAATTTTTTTTGCCGAGGACCATCACGCACGGACAGCGAGCAGCCAGTGGCCCATTGGTTTGTCTCCTGTATTGACAGCGTAAACATCCAATCACAATGCGCTATAGACAGAGCGATTAAGTATTTTGCTCCGCCTATATAAAGATCGCTTCACTCTAACTTCTTCCTCGTCTGCTTTTCCCACGTTTTCGTGCCCCCTCAGATTTCTGAGCCAAGTGGATTTTAAATGAAGCTTCCAAAAGACAAAAAAAAAGCTGAATAACACCGTGTGATTAGATCGTTTAGTGCGGCACAGCAAATGCTATTCAAATCTGCGTTGGCGCTTTGGCTGGCACTGAGCCAGAGACAGAAGCGTTTGTACTGTGTGAAATGCGCTAGGCTGTAGTGTACTTGTCCCTCTTATTCTGCATCAGTACAAATACGTGCACGCGTCGTGCGTTTTGCTTGCTTGAGTGTTTCTGCATTATATGAGTGGCTTTGGAATATAAATCGCAGCACGTTTCAGATGAAAATACGTGACTTCTATTTCTAAAAATATCACAGTTAGGAGATTTATAACGAGTGGTTCCCTGCATTATTACAGCAAAGCGCGTGATTACAGTACTGAGCCGCTGCAATGGAGCAGCTCTAATGCTATTAAATTAAAGATGTTGTACCATAGAGCAAAAAATGAACAGTGAAAGTAACAAAAACTTGTAAAATACATTTTAATGGGCATAATTAAGTGTGAAAATAACCGAAGGATATACAGTCAAACCAAAAATTATTCAGAGACCAGATATAATATTTTATATTTTTTTACTAGTGGGTGCAGGACACTATAGTTCATTTATGTAAGTGAGGACAGCAAAATAAAGTAAACTGTGACAAATCATACACCAAAAATTCTTCATACAGTGGACTACCAGTCAAATTGATACACATTTGGGTCCAAAAATGATTCAGACCGATTCTGGGAAAAAAATTGAAGTTCAGGTTTGCATGAAGCTGGATGACAGCATGCCCAGGAGACTACAGGCTGTCATTGAGGCTAAGGGTTGCCCGACTAAGTATTGATAGTTGTGTAAATACTGTCATACTAACAGCTGTCTGAATAATTTTGGGTTGATTGTAATCTATTACATACCTTTCTATCAAAATTATCTAACATTATCAAGATGAATTTGTTCTGACACAGTTTAACTCTGAGTTCTTGTCATATTTTATTACCATTTTCTAAACTATAGCGACTAAACTGTGATGATGTGAGAAATGTTGAAGGTGTCTAAATACATTTTGGTTTGACTGTATCTATTTGATAAATGAAGTTAACCAACTAACATTATACATACCCTTTTGGTTTCTGTACTCAATATTTAAAAATAAAAATATCGGTACTCTGTATCGGCAAGTATCAAAGATAAAAGTATCGGTATCGGGCGAGTACTGGAAAAAGTGGTATCGGGGCATCCCTAATTATAACCAGTCACACACGAGTCTGTTAAGCTTATGAATGCAATGGGTAATCAGAGACGTTGGTGTTTTGTTCACTTGCTCGCTGACTGTGCAGATGTGCGTACTAATGTAAGTAAGATGTTCATTTCACAGTGTAAACGGCTTCAGTAGGACCTTTCGCACCGCTTTAGTTCCAGAACTAAATGTACAGTACTAAAGTACTGGGATGATTTTGCACGAACTATTTCCCA